CACAGGCCACCCCCACCCTCAGCCCAGCCGCCAGCCCTCGTCCCTGCCCCTGACACCCCTCCTTTTGCTCCAGGGCCACTGTGCCTGCACCCTAAGTCTGACCCCCCCCACACACACACACTGACTGTGAATAATTCGGGAAGCAAGGAGGCTGCGGCGCGCTCAGCCCTGCTGTGTGCACACACCGCCCACCTGTCCGCTGCGACCAGGCCCCACCCGCCTGACTGGAGCCAGAACGAGGGGGAGCATGATGCGACCCCACCCCCGGGCTAGGGGGGCACGGGCAGCACCTGCAGAGCAGGAAGGAGGGGACCAGCAGGGCAGCGTCACTGAGCGGCCTGTGCAGGGGCCTCCCTGCCCACCTCGTCCCAGCCCCGCGGAGCAGGCAGGCAGCCCACAGTGACTGCAGGTCGCTGCCCATTCAGCTCTCATCATGGACAACCCAGGGCTCCTCCCTAAGAGAAGGCCTCCAGGACCCCCATCAGCACCCCACCCCCTCCCCTCAAGGCCCTGGCCTGGGAAGGCTCAGAGAGACCAGAGGGAGGCCAGAAATCTGCCCTCAATTCGTGAATGAAGTTGCTTCTTCTTCACACCCATGTGCCAAGGCCGGCCCGCCCCCTCCCCAGCCCCAGCACTTCCGCTTTCCTGGGGTCTCCTCCTCTGCCCCTCTCCCACCGGTCGCCCCATGTGGCCCAGGGGTGGGGAGCCGGGAAGGCCTCGTGGCCCTGTCTGGTGGAGGCCCAGGGTGGAGTTGGCACAGCTGGGCAGACCCAGGTAAGACTCCTCCTCCCTTCCTCCAGTGTCCCCCTCCTGCCCCCTCTCGTGCTCTCCCCGCCCCCGGGCTGCTCCTTGGCCGAAGGAAGTGTGAGAACTGGCTCCCAAACCAGGGCTGGACAGTCCTGTCCTTTGGGCCTGGGCCTGTGGGCAGAGACACCGGGCTCCCACGGGGGCTCCCACGGGGGCTCCCACGGGGGCGCACAGGCAGTGGTCCCAGAGCAGTGCTGGCTTGAGGCC